TTGACATGTAAGGCCCCAGATACTGTTCCCATGTTTCTTATTCTCTGCAATATTTTTGTTAAAATTGAATGATCTGCTCTTTGAAATTTTAGAACTTGATACTAAAACCCCTATTTTCTCTTGGGAAGAACCTAAATTACTAATTCAATTACATGAATACATACAGTACCACTGAGGTTTAAGTTATTTTCCTAAGTATTCATTTCAAATGGGTTTTCTGACATACAGTCCTTGTTAAATTTACTTATTTATTTTACGTACATTTTCCAAAGAGAGAGAATAAGTGTTCAGCTTGGTTAAAAAAAAATACAAGCAACAAGTATCCATAAAATCAGTGTGCTAGGGAAGAAGCAAGCTACTCTTTATCAAGTCCCTTCCTTCCTTAAATAGCTATTATTGTGGGCTGGAGAAAAGGCTTCGAGGTTAAGAGCACTGGCTGCTCTTGCAGAGAACCTGGGTTTGACTCCCAGCACCCACATTGTGGCTAACAATCATCCATAGCTCCAGTTCCAGGGGATCTGATGCCCACTTCTGACCTCTGCGGTCACTGCATAACACAGGTGCACTTACATACATGGAGGCAATACACTCATACACATAAAATAAAATAATAAGTAAGCTATAAAATAATAATAAGTAGCTATTACCCTATGTTCTAACACAACAGACCAGTTGTGTTCTTTGTTCTTTGTTCCCTTTGTTCTTTTTTGTATAAATCTATATTTATACATAACTTTACCTTATTCTTCCTTTTTTTATTTTTATTTTTTGAAGACAAGTTTATTTACAGTGTTCTGAAATGTACCTTTCTGAATGGATTGTGACATGTGGGAATTAGTGATCTTTGCAGCCGTTCTGAGGATATGTTTCATTTTCAAGACTCAGACTGACTCAGTGAAATAGTTATGAATAATTATGACCCAAAGTAAATCTTTTTAAACTAAATAACTTAGGGACTAAATATCTTATTCATTAAGACAGCTGGCCTTTTTATAAAAAGAAAGATCATAATTTGATATGTTTATTATATAATAATATATAAACTGTTGCAGAAAAACTCAAGTGCTGAGTAACAGATTCAACTGGGCCATAGAATTTGACAAACCCTTATTTGCACCTAAGCATCTGCCAGATATTCTTCCTTTTTAATATATATTTTATTGAATTTTGTGCTTTCATACAATATATCTTAGTCTTATTTAGACCCTCCTCCCCTACCTGCACCTCCCCTGTAGCCTGCCCACAGGACTTCATACATTCTGTCATATATGTTAAGGCCTATGGAGTCAAGTTTATATACCCAGATTTCCCTCGGTGTGAATTCATCCACTGGAGCCTGTTCAGCCTATCTAGTGTCACTCCCTTAAATAAAATCAAATCTCCCTCACCCAGCAGTGATCGGCTGCTAATAGTTCCTCAGCTAAGGTTGGAGCCTCCTACCCATTTCCCCAACTCTATGCTGGTTTTTGTCTGAGTTTGCATGGGTCTTGTGCATGCTGTCACCACTGCTATAAGTTCATATGAGCACGTTCCCAGAAGCCTGTGGGACTCTGTTTCCTTATGGTCATGCACCAACCCTGGCTCTTGCAAACTTTCTGCCTCTTCTTCCACAATGGTTCCTGAGCCCTGGATGGGTGAGGTTTAATATAGAAGTCCTATTCAGGGACATATACTCTGCAATCTCTTATTCTCCACACTTGGGCAAATTGTAGCTTTCTGTGTTAATCACCCTCTGTTGCATGAGGAAGTTTTGCTGGTGAGAGTTGAGAGATACAGTAGATTTAAGTCCACACACTTACAGCCACCTGATTTTTTTTTTTTTTTTTTTTTTTTTTTTTTTTTTTAGAAAAACTCCCCTTAGCCTCACCCGGCCTAGAACTCACTTTGTAGACCAGGCTGGCCTTGAACTCACAGAGATCCACCTACCTCTGCCTCCCGAGTGCTGGGATTAAAGGTGTATGCCACCATGCTGGGCAGCCACATGATTTTTACAAAAGGAACGAAAACACACATTGGGGAAATGATGGTAACCTTAACAAATATTACTGGTAAACTGGGTAGCTATATGTAGAAGAATGAAACTCAACCCCTATCACTCATCCAGCACAAAGCTCAACTCCAACTGAATGAAGGATTTCAACAATTATGTCTGTTTTGAACTTCATATACATATGAAGTACAATATGTTCCTATTGTGTTGGTTTTTTTCCTTTCAGTATCATATTGGTGAGATGTAGTCTTGTTGTTTGTCACAACATAGCCTTTATTTTTTATTGTTAATATACTGCACCATATTTACATGCTGCAACTTACTAACCCATTCTACGATTGACGGGCATCTGTGTACTTCTAATTTGGGTGTTATGGTGATTAATCTTCACTCTTCACTATGGATCTTGATTGGATTCAGTCACTTAGAAAATTAGAAAAGCATGTCCCTGGGCGTGGCTGTTTTCAGAGGTTTAGATGAGGGGTCAAGAGCCACCCTGAATATTAGTGGCACCATTCTGCAGGCCAGAAGACCAGATGGATTAAAGGTAGAAAGGAGAAAGCAGCTGATCACTGACAGTGGCCTTCCTCTGCTTCTGCTCACCCTGATGTGGCGTGCCCTGCTACTGATCCCTCCCTGCCACGACAAACTGACACCTCTGAAAGTGGAGTCAAAATGAACGCTTCCTCCCATGAGGTATCTGTGTCAGGTATTTGCCACAGTGATACAAAAGTAATTGACACAGTTTTAAATGGGGAAAATGCTTTCTGGAACTTTCTGCTGGGTGTCTCTGTGCATCACTTGCTGAGCCACAAAGCTAAAAATGTTATGCTGGGCATGGTCAATCTTTTAAGAGACATGTGTTCATGAGGGAACACATAGGTAGCTGCTTGCTTTTGCTGTTCAGCCAATGAGGCTGGGACATAGCCATGTGCTTGCTTATGAATTCCCTCTTTTGAGAAGGGTCTCTCTCTGATATGTTAGCTCTTAATTTTATTGATTTTGGTGGATTTTGTCACTTACATTTTGCAAAGCTATTCTTCCCTTCTATGATTTACTATTTTATTCTCTTGTTTCCTTGCTGGACAAAAGTTTGTAATTCAATGCGGCTCAATTTCTTAAAAGTTTTGGTTAGTACTCTTTTCCTTGGCTAAGTCTCCATAAGTCCAGGCCATGAAGACTCCAATGCCAAATTCTAGGAGTTTTATTATTTTGTACATCTATTTAGATCTGTCATCTACCTCAAAAGAATTTTAAGCTAGAGATTTATTGTTATTTGGTGATTAATAAATCAAATTAGTTATGACACTGCCCTACTTGTGTATTTCCATTCACCAGTACAAAAGTATTTAAACCAGAAAGACTGAGACATATAAGGCAGAACAAGGAGACAACACTGTCCTACCAACCTCCCCTAGTTACACCTCCGCCTGGACCTTTGTACCTATTTTCTTCCTAGGGAAAGTGTCAAATTAGCATGTGGACTGGAGGGCAACCTGGTCTCTAGATGTTTTAACAGAAAGCAACTTACAGAAGTAATGGAATTCAACTTGTATTTCCCTTGAGTTTATTGGTTCAAATTCATTTTAGATTATTTTAACATTATAATTATCCTCTAACTGTACATGAGAGACTATAATAACCTAGGAGACTACTGAACCAGAGTCAGCCAAATATATTACTGAACCCCTAAAGTTATATTTTAATTGGTCCTAAAGGAATGTATCACCAATAGTTGGAGAGTCAGGCAAATAGAACTTCTTTGGGGAGGGGAAAAAAAGGCTATAGAATAGCCAAACTTATTCAAACGGCTCTTTTTCACCTCAAGGATATTATGCATAGAAATCTCAGCAGAATCTTGGTTGCCAGTATTATTTAGTTGAGGCTGGTTCAAACCAGGATAGAGTCTGTCTCCCTCCTCCACTCGCATTCCCTTTCTCTGAGGTTCTGAAAAGCACAATATTCAACTATTTCTTAATAGAACTATCCAAACACTTCAGAAACAAGTAGCTAGCTCACTATAATCATTTTAAATTCAGGTACTGCCTATGAATGAGAATGTTGATAAACCCAAAAGATAATTCTACTTTTATATAGCAATTAAAAAAACAAACATCAACATTTCAGTGAAAGCAACATTTCAATTATAAACCATAATATTGGTTAAACTATCTATGGGAAAAGCTGAAAAATCCTAGGCAAAAGCATTTTGGAGTATTATTATAGTGCTCCCTCAGTTTGCATAAAATTAAGGTAATTTACGGCCATTATAGAAACGCTGAGATATTGTTACATTATGTTGTCTGTACATTTAAATGTCCCTACACAGATACCAGAATCAGTTTTTCTTTATTTTCACCAGTCTGACTAAATGGCACTTCTGCTGAGAGATGTTTATCAAAGATGCTGTAAGTTTCTACACAATTAGGAATTTCTTATTTTACTTTTTTGATTACAGGGATTTTGCTCAGATGACCTATCACAGTAAGTTTCTAGAACTATAATCCCAAATGTGCATACTTTGTACTGTATACAAATAAAGCAAAAATTGTCAGTAGTATAAATTTAACAGCATTATTTGCAAAACTACATGCCAAAGTCACAATAAGCAATACTGTAGCACAAATTATACAACACAAATGATCTGCTTTTTAATGCCTTTATTCTACCTAAATTACTACCATAGGCTTATGTTTAAAAAGCAGGTGTTGGACAGATGCAGGACAAAAGTTGGTTCACCCAATTAGCAAAGCTGATGTATTTTTTTTAATTACAATAAACGCAGATGTGTTTGATACTTGCAGTAGCCTTAATTGAAAACATTGATTCCCACTGTTCCAAAACAAAAATACAGAAAATCCCACACATCTTACTGTACTTCACCTTAAAATGCTTTACATTTGTTTTGTTTATAATAGCACAGAATTCAAGTGAAATTAGGCAGTTATTTTAAAGATTTAAAGCCATTATCAAAAATAGATTACATTTTTTTCAAGCTACAGAAATGCTGCTACGGTGGTTGGGAGCCCAGTCACCTTTCAACTGCTGCCTTTATATCACCCCTGTTGCTATCAGCGCTTGCAAGTTTGCTTCACGGTTCAAAAATCCCACTGCACTGAGCTGTTCCAGTTGTTGCTGAAATCTGACTTCTGGATTCTGTAGCTGAGGATTCATTCCAGCAAGAGGCTACAGCATTTGTTGAATAAACTGTTGGTGTCCAGGTTCAGTATTTGTGGGACTTGTATTTTCACTAGGTGCAGTGCTAGCTAGACCCATCGGTTCCTGAAGAGCCTCCAGTGTTTTCTACCGCCCCCAGGCCAGGGGTAAACCCTGGGATGAGGCCAGGAGCTTCTGTAGCTAATGTCTGCAAACCCTGCTGAATCTGCAACAAAGCCCGCATTGCTCTAGGATTTGACATTGCTGATAGTGAATCAGGATTCTGCGTTTGTTGGAGGAAAGTTGGGAGCTGTTGTCTCATTTGTTCCTGAAGCTGAGGATTTCCAGCCAATAGCGGGTTATTCAGCATCATCTGTGCAGCAAGGTCGGGGTTCTGGCTTAGTGACTGCATCGTGCTTCTCATGTATGGGACAGACAAAATGTTTTGCATAAGCTATGGGTTTTCAGTTATTTGCTGCAATAAGCTTTGCATTTCTGGTGTATTGAACATACTAGCTCCTACTCCAGGCACCAAATTTGGCCCAGTAGTACTCTGCCCAGCAGTAGTACTGATAGCACTACCAGCAGTACCACTCACAATGTTAGTGGTCCCACTAGAAGCTGATGAACTCTGAGAAGTCTGTGGAGCCCATGGATTGGGTAACGGATCCCTATTTTCTGTAGGAGAAGGCTGACTTCCTTCACCTGAGGATGTACTGCTCACTAAAGCAGCAAATGGATTACCACCAAACTGTTCTTGGGCGGCACTCAGCATAGGTTCCTGAGTATCTGTAAACACTGCAGTTAAAGCATTATGTCCCCAGGAATACTCCCTAGGTTGCTCAACGCTCGGTCCAGGTTTCTCCTCATTTTCTGCATCGTCTGGATTTCTGGCAAGTTCCAATGTTTGTCTCATTATGTCTGGATTATTAAGCATATGACTAATTTCTGGATTTCTTTGTATTAACTGTTGCATCTGTGGATTGGCCATAATTAATTGTCTCATCAGGTCAGGATTAGAAAGCATGCTCTGGACGGAGGGATTTTCCCTGATCTGGACCATCATTTCAGGATTGGACAAAAGTTTTCACCTGCATTTGGCTCTGTAGTTCAGAGAAGTTGGTAGTATTTAAACCCAACCTAGCTCCTCAGGCCTGCAAGTCCTCCAAGTCTACCTAAACCAAAAGGGCTGCTAGAAGCAGAACCACAAGTGGGGTTACTATTGGGAGCCGATGAACTGTTAACATTGCTTCCAGTGGTATTTGTTGGCTGAGCTGAATAATCTTGAGGCCTGTTTTGCGTTTTGATGACAAGGTGAACAGTAAGTCCATCATGAATTCCATGCTGACTCAAAGTATCTTGAGCCTTTAAAATTTTTCCAGCAAATAACACAACACAAGTTGGTCAGTATGAGACTTGAAACGTTTAGAGATTTCTTCTTTGAACTGCTGGACGGAGCTGTTCTCGGGCACAGCAAACTCTTCCTTCTTCTTTGGGGTTTTCACCATGACTTTCATGATCTCGCGTCGCCCGCGCTGTCCTGGAGGCCCGGAGGGCCGCTGCTCTCACCACTCTCGGTCAGGGCGGTGACTCAGGCGAGCCGGAAGGCCGGGTTAGCGGCGCAGGCACTGCAGGGTCTGTGGCACGGCTTGGAGAACACGGGACAAGCCGCCCAGGTGCCAATGGGTCGCAAGGCAGCCGAGGGGTGCGGGGGTTGGGTGGACGCGAGCTCCAGGTGCAGGCCTGGGTGGCTGCGCCGAGGGGAGGCCGAGCACTCTCTGCCACGCCGCCGCTTCCTCCTCCCGCCCCCTACTGCCTCAAAATTTTTATATCTGGCATGAGTTAAGGAATGGTGCAGTGGTTTAGATATGTCTCCTCTAAAAACGCACGTTGAAATTTGACCCTGTAAGTAACAGTACTGACAAGTGTTGACACCTTTAAGAGAGATGAATGTTTTCCTATAGAAGTGAGTTTTCCCTCTTGTAGGATGGGAATAGTAACTGTGAGAGTGGCTCTTGTTATGTGACCTTTCTTCCACCGTACCCACTGACATATTGCTATGAGGTCCTCACCACAGCTGTGCCAATGTTCCTGGACTTCCAGAACTACGAGCAAGGTAAACCTTTTTTGAGTATAAAGTATCTAGCCTCAAGTACGCTGTTATTATTCCATAGTTTTAGGGGTTAAAAAGACAATCAGCATAGCCCTGGCTCAGGCGAAGGCCCATGGTTCTGTCAGGCCATGGCTGGTGGCAGGATATAAGACATATGTAAGAGACACAGCACCGTGAGACAGGAAAGACGACAAAACAGAGTGAATGCACTGTACTAGTAATCAGAGCCACTGAACTTTAAAAGGAAGAATATCAGCAATTGAAACTCAACACCAACTTGAAAAGACAGTTTTCATAAAAATGCCCTTTTCTCAGACTTTAATCATTCCAGGCCCGTCCATGCAGAGAAGGAAATATGTATCTAGTCAGAAGAGTTCTTGTTTCTGGCTAACCAAAGAAACAAAACCATGAGATTTCATGTGATGGGGCGGGGGTCTTTTTTTCGAGACAGGGTCTCCCTATAGCCCCAGCTGACCTGGAGCTTGCTATGTAGACCAGGCTGGCCTTGAACGCACAGAGATCTGCCCTCTGAGTGCCCGGACTAAAGGTGTGTGCCACCATGCCCAGCTTCATGCGATTTTTTAAAAATATTGAGTACACTATAAGAAGGAGTGGCCTGAGCAGTGACCAGAGTGCTACTGGAGCATCATGAGATTTCTTTATTATACACAAAAGAAGGACCTTTGAAAATAGGGATGGGGCTGGAAAGATCACTCAGTGGTTAAGAGCACTGACTGCTCTTGCAGAGGACCTGGCTTCAAGTCCCAGCACCCACATGGCAGCTAACAACCATCTGTAACTCCAGTTCCAGGGGATCCAATGCCCTCTCCTGACCTCTTCAGGCACTGCACAACACAAGTGCACTTACACTCATGCAGGCAATACACTCAGACTCATAAAATAAAACTAATAAATAAAATATTTTTTAAAAGAAAACAAGGGGGGCTGGAGAGATGGCTCAGTGGATAAGAACACTGGTTGTTCTTGCAGAAGACCCGGGTTCGAATCCCAGCACCCACATGGCAGCTAACAACATGCAGGCAATACATGCATACACATAAAATAAAAAAAATAATAATAAATAATTTTTTTTAAAAAAGAAAGTAGGGATCAAAGGGGAGTTTGAATTTTGGCTATTTTGACATGATGAATTGGGTTCCCCCAGATACTTTTCTGGCAGAGTCAACTAAAATGCTGAGCAGAAGTTAAAATTGAAAAATTAAAATTAAAACAAGACCACATGAGCTGGTCAGAGTAATATCGCAACAAGTTATTCCAAGTTCTTGGAATTATTAGCGTGAAGGTCATTAATGTTCCCCCACAAAATTAAATAGACACATTGATACATCTAATGTAAATACTTTTTGTTGTTGTTGTTGTTTTCAAACAGGGTCTCCCTGTAGCCCCAGCTAGCCTAGAACTCATTGTATCGACCAGGCTGGCCCCATCTCACAGAGATCTGCCTTCCTTTGCCTCCCTAATGCTAAGATTAAAAGGGTGTGCCATCACACCTGACTTTCAAAAGAAAACTTTTAAAAACTGCAGACCATGTGACATTCAACCCCACAATGAGGGGAGAGAATGGAATCAGTAAAAGAAAGAAAAGAAAGTCATTGAGTGAGAAGTTAAGAAAGAAGGGAATGGAAAACAGAGCAGGAAAACAAATGATAGGATGAAGAAACCACATACAAATGTGCCATCGTCAACGAAACTAAGCTGGGGGAACTGTGGCTACAAGACAAAACATCACACCGTGACTTTTAAAACTCAGACTAACAACTTTTGATTTTCTAAAAAGACAACAAAAGCTTCAGGACACAGAGAGAATTAAAATCAATAGTGGCACAGCAGACAAACATTAACCAGAAGAAAGCTGCCTCTGCAGCCAAACACCAAAGTAACTGTTTTTTGAGAGAAGGTGCTATTCAGTAAAGAGACATAAACTTGTAAGTGCCTGATAAAATATCCTCAAATTGCACAAAGCAGAAAACAGCTGAGAAGCCAGATGCACTGGACAGAGGCTGTTATCACAGCGAAGGGTTTAAACCATGTTTTCATTAATACATAGATCAGTAGGAATGTGGGCTATTTGAGCAGCAAAATTAACAATCTTGAGCTAATGAGCATTTATAGAACACTGCACCAGCACTTAGACAAAACACATTCTTATTAAGCACTTGCAAACTTCAGTGAATTTCAAATGGTGGATGGTGACCACAATTCAATTAAGTTAGAAATAAATACAAAAAGAAAATGGGAAAACTGTGTTTGGAAATAAAGCCTCACCCGACATCTGAAGAATTCATGAATAAAAGAAGTCATAATGAGACAAGAAGACACTTAGACCTAAAGGATGGTGAGAATACTACTGACCATAATCAGTGGAAAGAAATTCAAATACTACCGGAGACTTACAGCCTCGGGTACTGATTTAGCAAAGGTGAAAGTGCTCATATCCCCAAATACAGTCCTTCTCACTCCCAGGTTAGTCCCCAGGAGATCAGTCTGCATGCTAACTAGAAATTGTCTTTAAGCTCTCAGAGGCAGGGGCCAAAGAGATGACTCAGTGGTCAAGAGCACATGCTCCTCTTGCAGAAGACCCAAGGTCAGTTCCCAGCACCCACTGTCAGGTGGCTCACAACTACCTGTAACTCCAACTCTAGGGGACTCTGACACTCTCTTCTGGCCTCCATGGGCACCTGCACCCAAATGCATATACACACATACATACACATAATTTTTTTAATCTTTTTTAAGAAGATCTCAGATGAAGAATCTCTTCACAGAACATGAGGGAGGTAAATGATGATAGACAAAATATTTAACAATATGGATGTTATAACAAGTTAATAAATAAAAGTTACCTCGCTAGTTAAGACCATATTAAACTGCACAAGGTGCTTACCAAGCAAAGTAAACTATAGAAAACTTATAAACTCACTTTAATAATTTATAATTTAAGAAAATGTTAATTGCAGTAAAATTCATAAAACATGAAAATTTCTATCTGCGATAATTTGAACTTGAGTGCCTCTGCCAAAGACTTGTATGTTGAAGGCTTGGTCCCTAGAATGGCTCTGTTGGGAGATGGCAGAACAGAACCTTTAAGGCATGAGGCCTAGTAAGAAGTCCTTGGTTACTGAAGTATGCACTTGAAGGAAGGAGACTATGGGACATCTCTTTCTGTCTTCCCCATGCCATTCTCTCTTCCTGGCTATGAGGTGAGTAATTTCATTCTACCACGCACTCCCACCTTACCACAGGCCCCGAGTGATGGGGCCCATCACTCATGGACTACGAACTTCCAGACTATAAGCCAAGATGATCCTCTTGTATGTATAAGTCTCTCAGGTCCCTCAGTGTGGTGATGACAAGTTGACTAACACACTCTCACCCATTCTTAAGCATATCAGACAGAGACACTAAGTACATTTGTACTGTTGTACAACAGTCGCCACTGGCCATCTCCTGAATTAGTCACGGCTTCCCAGGCTGACATTATACATCCATTAACATTACTAACTCCTCGTTCTCCTCTGCTGACCCTGAGGAAGTTATCGTTCTGCTTCCTGTTTCAGTGAACTTGACTGCACTAATTTTCTCCTATGAATGAAATAGCACTAGACTTCTTTCATGTCCGGAGTGCTTCATGTAGCTTAATATCCTCAAGGTTTGTCCATGTGGTAGAATTTCCTTCCTTTGGAAGGATAAATACTATTCCACTATAGGAATATACCACATTCTGTTTATCACCCATCTGAGATCCTCTGTAGCTGCCACATTTGACTATTAAGAACAATGTTACTACGAACATAGGTATACAGGCATCTCTTTTATTCTTGCATAACGTCTTTGGGAAACATACCCAGAAGTAAAATTGCTGAATCTATGGTAATTCTAAATTTAATTTTTTGAGTAATCATCATACTGTTTTCCATAATGGCCACAGCATTTTGCCTTCCCCCTAACGATATACAAGGGCTCCACTTTCTCCATAGCTCTAGTCACTCACATTTGGGCTTTAATATTTTTCTTCTTTATTACATTTATTTATTTGTGTGTGCATGTGTGTCTGTGTGTGTGTGTGCACATGTGCATGTCACAGTGCCATTTATACATATGGAAGTCAAAGTACAACTTTTGAGAGTCAAGTTTTCTCCTTCCACCATGTGGGTTTCAGGGATTGAACTCAGGTCATCAGGTTTGGTGGTAAGTACCTTTACCCACTGAGCCATTTCCCCATAAGGGACTAAATCCTTAATAAGCAGATAGGGCCACTAATGAAAAATAAAGATAACACACTTCCTGCTTCTTCTTGGTCTGAGACAAAGACCTTGCAGGCTTTTCTCCTGTTAGCAGGGCCTTTTTTCCAGCTGACTGGTCCAGACCAGTTTAGATAAGACTAAGATCAGACCTGAACATCTCACTCAGCTTGGAACTGAGACCTATGGACTCTCTCTTCTTTGTTTAAGTTGGCTAATCCAAAATTAGGGGAGCGAGACCTGTCCCATACCAACAAAAACACTTAACATGCCCAAGCCCTTCCGGGGGCCTTATTTGGGTTGGGGGGGGGGGGCTTGTTGTTTCTTCAGTTTCCGAGTTCCCTCTCTGCTTGTGGAGAGCTTTTCTTTCTCAGTGAGTGTGTGTATAGATGTGATCCTCTGTCTCTCATTAAAGCCTGTTTATTTGTTACTGTTCTGTGTTTGAGATCTTTCCTGCCTTTTAATTCTTCTATTGGCATAGAAACAGACCCAGTTATAATCCCTAGATGATAATGTGGCTACACAGGCCTACTTGTTATTTTTTAATAGACGTTTAAATTTTTTTATTTTATGCATATGAGAGTTATGCCTGCATGTATGTAAGTGCACCCATGTCATGCAATGCCCTCAGAGGACAGAAGAGGGCGTCAGATCCCCTGGAACTGGAGTTACAAACAGTTGTTAGCCGCCATATGAGTGCTGGATTCAAACCCAAATCTTCTGCAAGAACAACCAGTACTCTTAACTGCCCAGCCGTCTCTCCAGCCCTTTTAATAAACATTGTAATCAGCAATGGGTGATACTGCCTTGTTTCTAATTTAACCAAAAATGTTTGAATAAAGGTTACTTGATATTTTGTTTGACGTACTTACTACATGCAAAACAATACCACAATGTGATGTAGAAACTTCTTCCAGTTCTTTTACCAAGTGCTTCCAATTTAGCCATTAGGTGGCTTATAGTTGCAAGTAGCAGAAAATTTAACAATAGCCAAATGGTTTCTGATACCAAATCATTTCTCTGCTCCTATTGCATCATGACTGCATTTAAAATGACTTACTAAGTGAAACAATCCAGGTACAAGAAGACAAATACTGCATAATCTCTCTTCTGTGTGAGTCAAAAAACAAACTGAACTCAGAAGCAGAGAGTAACAATGGTGCTGGCCAGAAGCTGGCGGATGGGGTGCTAGGGAAATGTCGGCCAACAGGTACAAACTTTCATTTGTACCTGTTGTATAGCATGGTGGCTACAGTTAATAACAACATATTGCATACCCCAAAAATGCTAAAGTAGATTTAAAAGTCCTTATCACAAAAAATAATAATAAATGGGTCAATTATCTTGAATTGGGGTGATTATTCCACAATGTACACATTTATCAAAACATTTCATTTGTAATATGCCCTTTGTCAATTAAAAAATATAGATTACTCTTAAGGTCATTTGAGGATCTGTTCCTCGGGGGTCACATGGGCTTGGGAGGAGCCCCTGGTTCCTTTCTTTTATCAGTTCCATCTATGTGAAGATAAGTCCCAAGGTCCTGCTAGGCTGTGGATGGAATTGTTCGCCAGGGTGGCCCAAGAGACTCCCAGACAGTAAACCAGCATAGAACTGGGAAAATGAACAGCAGATCCCAATCTTATCTAAAGGAATGTTGACAATTGATTGCTGCTAGATGAGGAAGAACTGATCTTCCTAAAACAAGGGACTCTAGATAGGCTGACTAGACTTTGAGGATGGACTTGCACTGGAGAATGGCTGGGGGCACTGATAACACAGTAGACAGTAACAGGGACGACAGAGTATATGGGCTCCACTGGGGGGAGGAGGGGGCCTATGGGAAGGTGTCATTTGGGATTTGGGTATAAAGATGAATAAGATTGTTTGGGATGTTCTGTATGAAATACACAAAAAACAATAAAAAATATAGGTTACAAATAAAATAAAATATCTAGTCCCTTAAAACAGCCTGTGAGAAGTGGACATGATGGTGTACACCTGTAATCCCAGCACTTGGAGTATAGAGGCAGGAGGATCAGGAGTTCAAGGTCATCCTTGGCTACAAATCCATCCTCAAGACCAGCCTGGGCTATATGACACCCCGTCTTAAAAACCCAAAAAATGAAATAAAACATCCCATGACTCTAAAAGCAATATTATCTTTTATCGGCTAAGCCCACAATGAAATTATTAAAATATATTTATTTAGCTTACTTTTGTTAGATTTTGTTAACCTTCAAACTCAAGTCTGCCCACTCAGATTTATTAAACTTAAATGAATGTAATTTTTGTCATTTTCATCAAACAAAAACTGCATGTTCTTATAATTTATTGAATAATTGAAAGTGTTCTTTGAGATTTGGTACTTTTTGTTTCATCTGGAATTCTAGATTTAATTTTAGATTTTTAAAGTTTGTAGTAGTGGATATTCACTGTAAAAGGCAACGGGCTTCATAATGACATTTCCATTCTGATACATCATGTACTTCAACCGTATTTGCCCGTCCTGCTCTCCCCCACTAGTCCCTTCCTTCCCCCTTCAACTTATTTACTTAATTTAAGCTACTTGTGGTGGCCTCTGAGGAAACCTCTCTGCGGCCTATGAGCAAGCTGGCCTCTTGTGCCCTCCAGGAGCTGGCCACATGCTGGACTCTGCTGCCCTGGCACCTGCTCCTTCTGGGCCAGCAGCCCTGTCCTCACGTGTGGACAACAGACCAAAGTGAGAATGGACACACAGTTGCTGCCAGCATCGGCTTGAAGGGGTCAGAGGCACAAATCTCCCCGCACCCCCCCCCACAAAATAATCTCCAAGGAAGGCTGAGAACAGGCCTCGAGGTTCACTGTGCTGCTCAGAGGTCAGATTTGAGTGGGAAAACTCAAAAGTAAAGAAAGGCAAAATTGGGGCTGGAGAGATGGCTCAGCAGTTAAGAGCATGACCACTTTTGAAAAAGACCTGAGTTCAACTCCTACTACCCACATGGTGGCCAACAACTATCTATAACTCCCATTCCAGGGGATCTGACACTTT